GTGTGTGTGACTACCTTTTAAGAGTGGCCTGTCCTCTTTTTCAGAAGCTGAGGAGCTGTATCAGAAACGTATTTTAACAATATCAGGAATCTGCATTGCACTCCTAGTCGTTGGAATCATGTGTGTGGTTGCCTACTGCAAAACAAAGTAATTCAAGTCACATTTTTATGTCTGATTCATAACTTGAAGTTACACATCCTGATTTCATTATAATGTCCAATAGTGCCCCCAAAAGACTGAACTGTGAGGAAACCAAAGACTGCAAGAAGCTTCAAGAATAAACCAGGAAATATTGAACCTCTGACCACCAGGAGGCAGCGTAGTGAAGCCGTCACCATGGTGATATGAGTCTGACCTGGATAGGACTCCTTCACACCCTCAGAGCTTCAGACTCGTCAGTTCAGTCTGAAGCTGAGCATCAGTGTGAACGGTTCCTCAGACCAGAGGAGGATCTGGATCAAACTGAACCTGGTTCTGTTGGTTCACAGTAAAAACACTTTTGGACCAATCACAGGAAGTAGAGACACTTTAAACCATTGAAGATTAGACTCCGCCCACGTAGGTGATTCTTTAGTCCCTAAATTACAAAGTGAAACTTAAAGTAACGGATCAGATGAAACATGAACAAACACTTGGTTCAGCTGAGAATATAATAATTAATAATCACACATTTTAAAGGTTTCAAAGCTCCTTGGCTTCATCATCAGATGTGATGTGACGTCGTTCATAAGTGACAGGACTTTACAGCTGATACCAGATAACTACTTTAAATGACAACGTTTGATTCAGGTCAAAGAGCGAAGCTGGTGTAGCTGCAGAAAACTGTCTCCAGATCAGAAAATTAGACAAAGACATTAAGTTGGACATCATCTGCTTAGAACTGAGCAAAGATAGTTTGGGGACACTGTTGGACACAATAACAATATCATGAAGTGTATTTTGTAATGACCTCAATAAGTAATAAATATGAATTACCATTACTACAGTCAAGCCATAATAACATTAGCTGAACTTTGGGGTAAATGAGTAGTTCTTGGTACATTTGGAACTCTGCCCTCAGGGATTCTGTCTGTTTGTTTCTTCACAAACAGGAAGCAGAGGAAGAAGCTCCACGACCGTCTGAGGCAGAGTCTGAGGAATCAGAGGAACAACAACACCAACGCTGGAATTGGTCCCAACTCTGCGACCTCAGCCCGAGCACGTCGGATTTCTAACTTGCCTCTTCAAGATTTGCAGCTCACCAACGTATGTGACTCTTCGTCCGGTTAAAATACACAAAGTCATCCCAATCTGTGGAATATTCACTTGAGCTGTGGATGTGATTTCTGCTCCTCGCTGTAGAAATGTAATGGGACGACCACGCAGCATGCAGCCGAGAAGGAGTCCGAGACGACCTTCTCCCCGAGCAAACATGAAGCCACAACACTCACGCACATCTCCAGCCAAAGGTGAGGACGCAATCTTTACGTAGTCTGTCAGATCCAAACTGCAGATTCAAAACGAACTGATATTTTCCCTCCGCACGATCTTTGAGTCAGTGACTTCAGACACTGCGTCTGGACGAGAGGCAGAAATCAAGCAGAGTGATTATTTAGCTAAATATCCGCATTAGTGTAACTTATGTTAGTCTAGACAGGAAGTGTAAGTGTGGTTCGATTCTGACCTTCAGCCTCTAAGGCAGCAGGAGTTACTCACGTTAATCTTCAGGGACATCTAGTGGCGAGGTTGCAGATTGCAGCCAGCTCCCCTCCCCCCTCGGTACAGCCAGTGTTGGGTTTGTTCATTCTGAGACACGCAGCGACACGGTGATGGAACATTAAGGCTCATACGAAGGGAGCAAACACCATGATCCTCAGTTTCAGGAGATTTTACACTAAAGAAAAGATTGATTTATAAATATTCTAAAACGTCTGTGCTTCTTTTCTGTTGACTGAACCTTTGACCGCTTCAGACGTGTTTTTAAATTGGCTGTTTGTGACCTTTTACACAATAAAACAGATCAAGCGTCAACAGTACTCTTAGATTTCATATGTGAAGTATATGAGTATGTGTCAGACCTTTGGCACTGAGACGCTGCACCTCTTCACTTTGCTCTGTGCTTCTTCTTCTCTACGAGTTTCTCTCATCACTTTGCTGTCAGGTCCGAGGTGTCATTGGTTGTTTGGAAGGTTGCCCGTCGTTAGAAATAGCTCCTGACACGTTTGTCCTTGAGCAGTGATGTATGACAGCGCCACACAGTGGAGTCTGACATGATGACACTGTGGATGATTATTGATCAGAAGGATTGAAGGTCGTTAAAGATGACTGAGTGAAATGTTTACATCACTGTGAAAAAGAATAGAAGGAAACTGTGTTGATGAGAAGACACTGGTGTCTTTACTAATTAATAATAATAATATAATAATAATAATAATATAATAATAATCATATAATTATAATAATAACAATAATATAATTATAATAATAATAATAACAGTGAATAGATTCTAATTCCAGGCTGTCGTCCTTTTAGTGAGTTTGTTTGTACAAAGCAAACATGAGATTTCATTACCTCCATCGAGGAGGTTGTGCAGAGGTGAGCGGTCCTGCACCACATGCTGCAGAAATGCACCGCCTCCTCCTCCTCCATGTTAGCAGATGGGACATGGACCAAACTAAAGAATCAAAGTAGACGTTAAATGAATGTTTGTCAAAGATGTTTCTGTCGTTTCAGCTCGTTCTCTTCTCTCTGATGTTTATTCAAGTGTTTCTCATCAGTTTGGTTTGAATCAGTTATTTATGATAAAAAAACAGAGGGAGACGACATGATTGACAGCTGACACTGACTCAGGATTGGTTGAGCTCATGTGTGGGTGGGGGCTCGATACCACAGCTCCATGATGACTCAACGACTCTGACTGCAAATGACATCGTCACCACAAGATGTCAGCGTTTGTATCTGAGATATTTTAGCTTCATGTCGAGAGGAAGTGAAGACGTGTGCTCGTCTTTAGTTCTTCTGTCGTCGGATCCTCTTTCGTATGTCAGGCTCAACCTTCACTCACTAAACTGAACGAAGCTCCAGTTGTTGAATATAAATATTTAAGTGCTGAATTTGAGCCGCGTTATATTTATGTGGTTGAGGTCCAGAGTCCGCAGCCTGTCCCCATGTAAACGCCCCCTCCCTGTCTCCGCAGCTGGAGTAATGACTGGAGCAACACGGTTCTGTCTGACACTGAGTCTGTCTCGGTGATGTCATTGGCGGAGAAGAGCCAAAGTGCCACGCAGGGCGGTCGGGGTCGTCTGAACGCGACTGGTGGCACCAGAGACTTAAGTGCTCATTCAAAGATGCGCCGAGACACACTCAACTCCGACAGCGACTTGTCTTAACGTGCAAGGTAACAGATTAATGAAGTGATTGATTTGAACTGTGAACAGTCAGAATAAAGTAGCTCTGAACACACAGCCAGATGAGATACTTCATATTTATTCATATTGATTCATGATGCCGCTTCTCTCTGGTTACAACATATCACAGCCTGAAACATAAAGATGGACGACACGACAGCTCCCAAAATGTGAAGCCAAAGCACCGCCCCCTGGTGGCTGGCTGCAAGTTGGTCATGACACTCCTTCATGTAACACGTTAAATCAATGTGAGGAAGTGGATGCTGATTATCTTTATTTACAGTCTACGACCTAAACATAACGAGAAATGAATCATCAGGGAGATAAAATCTTTAAATATGATAAATATAAATATCCCTCACTTCAACAAATCACGTCTCCACCACAAACCTCAGTGACGAGCAGACGTCAGCGTGAGTCTGACTCCACAAAGAGCTCGAGGTCATTTCCCTGAGAAATGTGTCAGACGATGACGTGGTCGCAGAGGCACCATGATCCTGTGCAGCCGGTGATGACGTCACTGGGTTGAACGTCTTCCGCTCCGCTGTGCGACTGATTCAATCTCTTTGTCGAAGCTTCGGTTCCTCGCCGCTGCTCAGCCCTGAGGGGTGTGTCCTGAGGGGTGTGTCCATGAAACACGGTGAAAGTGACTTAAACACGCGAGCTGTAGTAAATAAACATGTGAAACATAAACTGTAAACAAAGATGGACGACTCTACATCCTCCCATTGTACAAACATCATAACTCCGACTCCCACGCTGCCATTTTGTTTCATTGTGTTACTGCACTTTTAATAGGGCGGGGTTTGTTTTCACATCGCTGCTGATTGGACAACACCTCTGACACACCCACCAAACCAGAAAAACATGTCGTTAACATGAAAACTGAGCAAAACGTTTTGAGTTTAAACGTGTTCCAGGAGAGTGGACCAGCTGACCAATCAGAGCAGACTTCATCAGGAGGGGGGTCTTAAAGAGACAGCAGCTAAAACAAGTGTTAGAGACAGAGGCTGGACAGAGGAGCAGCAGCGATGGACAGTCTGGGGACAGAGATTCTAAACATTAGAGCGTGAAGACATTTGACATTAATAACACTGATTAAATCAACATGAAGAGGAGCAGAATATTTCTGCTGTGGAGACAAACAGAGACATGGTGGACGACTTTCTGTCCACAAAGTTAATGTAAGTCTCCATATTTGTTTTAGACTCATTAATGGTAAATATGAATTTAAAGTTCAGTTGAACATTTTACATTGAAATCGATGTGTGAGTTGTTGTACTCGTGTGTCTGTTGTAGGTTTGTGTCTCTGGTGACCTCTCCTGTGACCCCGGGGTCTCCTCCATCAGAGATGTCAGCCCCCCTTTCCAGCCTGGCCATCTCCGTCCCCTCCGTGGCCCTGAGCCCCTCTGGTGAGGAGGAGCGCCCCCTGCTGATGTCACGTCAGACACACAAGTCCTCGAGCCGGGACGACCAGAAGAGGACGTCTGCTCACTACAACCACGGTCACATGGCTCACAGTTTACCGCCCAGCCCGCTGTTCAACCTGGAGGACGTTCACTACGACACCACAGACCAGACGTTCTCAGCCTCACCTGAGATCCTTCACACAAACAACAATGTCAGTGACTGCAACAGCAAAAAAGGAGGAGTCATCAATGGTCACGTGCTGCGTGACGTGGAGTCCAGCGGTGGCCGCATGTTAGCTGAGGAGCCTCAGGGGGAACACACGCCCTTCCTCACCACAGAGAGAGCTACGGCCCTGCAGCTCCGAGCTGTCGACAGCAGCAGGACTAACTCGGCATCGTGTCACGACCACGAGCAACTCAAGTCAAACCAATCAGATCCAGTCGCTGTGTGAAGATCAAATGCTGCAAATCTTTCGTGTGAAGCAAAAGAAGAAACGATTACGATTAAACCTTTATTTTCTATAAATTATTTGCTGTGTAAAGACTTTAAAGATAAATGAGAAATGAAACTTTTATTTTAGAGAAGTAGCGAATAAAGAGTTTTATAAATGAAATGTACAAAGGTGTTGATGTCTTGTAGGTAAAGTGCCATACACGAGTATGTAGCGACGGTTCACAGTATATTTCAGTGCAGAAAAATATCAACGGTGCCTTTCTGTTTGAAACGCTTTAGGGAACTGCATCAGTGCAAACTGGGCCATATACTCAACGTCTTAATCTTCCAGTTAACATGTAAAAATGAAGATGAGAAACTCGCTGGCTGCCTTTAACGTCCTGCAGGTCGAAGTGCCCTGATTTGAATCCCGTGCTTTCGAGGTGCATGCTACTGTTCGTTGTGAGGTGATGAGCGTGCAGGTGGCGTCCTCCGCAGCCGCCAGTCACCTGATGACATTTCACTGAAACTCTGGACTTCCACGCCTGGACTCATGTTGATGAGTAAATGATGAGTGAGAGAATGTTTTTATTCATCACTGGACTTTCAGACAGACACGTCTCGCTGGTGGAGGAAAGTTTGGCTCTAATGTTTCTAATGTTTCCACTGATGAGCAGAACACAACCCCAGAGAGTATTCATCAAAAAAAGATTTCTGGTTTTTCGCCTTTTCCCATAATGCTTTACTTCATCACTATCTGTGCATTCACGCGCTCCTCAGAAGGCCCCAGGTCTCCTGTTGGAGTCCTTCTGAGCTTAGATGTTGGAGTGTGAAAAAACCCATAGATGCTGTAAAAAAAAAGGTTGTTTTTAAGTTTAAACAACTCGTCTTTACAATATTTGCATGAAAACAAAAGAATCAGGTTTTGACCGACAGAGAAATCATTTCAAATCATTTCAAACGTGCACGTTAATCATGAAATCATCTGCATTGGATCAGAACTCTCGGACGTGCAAGTGACTCAAGTGACATTTGACAAGTTCTAATTGAAAGCTACTTTTTAAAGCTGATTGTAAAATGATGTCGATTGGTTTATAAGTGATGACGTGTTCCGACCTGAGGCGGCTTCATGGGAACTCATTATTCGGATTATTCCATTCGCATGAACGCACTATACGACGCAGATGATGTCATAAAACGTCATAAAGAAGTCGACCAGCATTTGTGTTTCAGACAGAAACTCTCTCGTTACTCTTCACGTGTCACCGATCACATCTTTAAATCATGAACATTCTGACTGGTGCATTCTGGGGCTTAAGGAAAAGGCTTCATATTTACACGATGCTTTACTTTGTGCAGTCGTGGATCTTAAGTTCCCAGAAACTGCTTGTGTGCGTTCATTTCTCCGTGCGCTCTCATTTTGTGTGTACGTTTTCACTGTCTTTAAAATCTGCCAAAGTCTGTCACCACTTCACGAAGCGTGAAATAACCACGGCCGCGCTCTGTAACCAACCATAGTTTCTTAAAGTGTCAGTAAAGTAGAATCCGCAGTGACCACGTAGACGTGCTGCCCCATAAATAAGAGAATTATTAACAGCAGCCGTACTTCTGTATTTTACATTAACACTCAATTGATTTCATATTTATTTGGTAATTCATGCTAATTACCAGCATTGATTACTGTTGCAGTATGTGGTACATAACCTTCTGTTTTAGAAAACAAGATTTAAAAGTGTAAGCTACGTGTATTTATCTGTTCACATGGTCATTAGAGATGAGTAGAAGATTTAAAGTGTCATATTTTGTCACTTGTGTGTAACATGACCCACAATGCTTTGCTTTTAGATGTAGGAGTGTGTTGAGATGATGTAAATACACCATGAAAACCTTCAGCGCTGTGGTTTCTTATTAAATATTCAATCAGCTCTGTGTCTAAATGTTTCTGATCAGTGAGCCGCTCTGAGTTTCTAAAGACTTTATCCACATTCCATCACACACGGAAACATCAGTGTTCTGCGTGTGAGAACAAATGTGTGAGTGTCTCTGGACATTTTCTGGATCTTCTCCTGCAGCCTCTAGTAAAACGTCTGTAACATGTCGGAGTGAGAAAACAGCAGGTTCTGGAACTTCTTCTTGTGTTTAGAGTTTTCTTACAGATGTTAAAGCTGTTGGACTTCATCTACATCAGGTTTATTCAGAGGCCTCCACACGAGGAGCTGCTGAACAAAGGGATTTCACATAAAGTTGAAATTAATAAAATAAACAAGAGTTGAATTTAAACCTAAGCTGAAGATATTTGTATAAAATAGAAACGTTGTTGATCAGTTTTATTTTGAAGGTCTTAACCAGAAGTGGCAGCTCGTTAAATCTGTTCTCTCTTCACCCAACTCTTCCTCCTCCTCCTCCTCCTCCTCTCTGAGCTCTGTCTCTGTTCAGCATCAAATCTCTGCTCTGACCATGAATCTGAGTCTCCTGTCCGTCCTCTCCGTCCTCGTCCAGCTGTGTCTGTCTCTGGATCCCTGTCCAGCTGAGTGTCAGTGTGACTGGGACGTCCTCAGTGTTTCCTGTGTAGGAGCTGAGCTCTGGCCTGTTTTCCACTCCAGCACTCAGGAGGTGTAAGTGATCGCTCCCAGCTCTGAGTCCGACCTCAGCTCCTGACTCTTCAGTCTGAGATGTGCTTGTGTTTCAGGTGGCTCGTCGGGTCCAGACTTTCCTCAGTTCCTCAGGACGCCTTCGTCAACCTGCTCAACATCTCTCACATGTAAGAGTCTCTGTGTTTTATTCTCACCTGTAACTTTATCACGAGAGCCTCTTTATGTTGTGACTTTCATTTTCAGATACATCTCTGAGGATGATTCTTTAAGACGTCTGGAGAGACATTCTTTCCACAACCTCTCCAGACTCACACACATGTACGTAACAGTTTTATTAAAGCACCACTGTGTCACTTTGACTGAGCAACAGCGCCCCCTGCAGCTACACATGATGATTAACTCTATTATGTGTGTGTCCAACAGACAACTAACTGGCATCAAAACTCTGTCGTTTATTGACCAAGAGGCGTTCAAGAACCTGCCTAATTTAACGTACCTGTAAGTAAAAGGTTCTTTTCTTGGTTATAGTTGTAGTATTGTGATAGTATAGGTGTATACTGTAGTATTGTGATAGTATAGTTGTATACTGTAGTATTGTGATAGTATAG